CTCTTGTGTGTCTGTCCACCAGCCGCATTGCTGCCCTCCAGTCCTGAGCCGGGAGCAGTGTCCTCCCACTTCTGTTGCTTGTTTCCAGTCCCCCCGTGCGAACCCTGCCCCGGCGCCGGGCTGCCTGACCTGGGGTCCAGTTTGGATGATGCCGGGCCCTTCCCGAAAGGCCGCTCTCCTGCTCTGGGATCCCATGGTGTCACCGCCAAGGGCAGGGCCGGAGAGCACTGTGCGGGGTGAACGCACACGGTAGCCTGTCTCAATGTCCGTGGCTCTCTGTGGCTTCTCCGCACTATGTATGGTGTTTCTGCCCAAATGAGTGAGGCTGGGGTTCTCTAGGCTCTCCCTAACCCAACGAGAAAGCAATGGGACCTTCGTGCAAGACTGCCACCCTGGCCCCCCATTCTCTGGTGCCACTTTTTTGGGTTTGACACGGGCCCATGAAGTGTGCTCTAAGCTTCTGGTGGGCCTACCCCATTTTGTCCACAGCCGTGTTCTTAGCCTAGTCCCGGGGAAGCCCCAGGCCTTCCGTGTGAGTTCTGTGAATTTCCACTGGACGTCTCGCTGCCTGCTCCCCACCTCCGTTGCTGCTGCTGGTTGTTTTCTGTGAAAACGGCAATGAGCAGACTCAGTCTGGAACTGGCCCTGAGGACATGGTCAGGAGTTGTGTGGACAGAGGGAGGGTGAGAGCCGTTGGAAAACAAAGTGAATTTTGTTTCTTTTTAACGTTTTTAATATTAATAATAAATGCAGTGGGAAGAGAGAGAGAGAGAGAGAGAGAGAGAGAGAGAGAGAGAGAGAGAGAGAGAGAGAGAAAGAGAGAGAGAGAGAGAGACCTAGGCATACAGAATTAAAACAGCAATAAATAAGTACCTATCAACAATAACCCTAAATATAAATGAATTCAATGCTCCAAATAAAAGGCACAGGATAGCTGAATAGATACAAAAACATGACCCAACTGTGTGCTGTCTACAAGGGACCTACCTCAGAACAAAAGACACATACAGGATGAGAGTGAAGGGATGAAAAAAATTTCCCATGCAAATGGAAAAGAAAAAAAAAAAAGCTGGAGTTGCAATGCTCATATCCAATAAAATAGACTTCAAAATGAAGGCCATCACAAAAGACAACAAAGGTCACCACATAATACTAAAGAGATCAATACAACCAGAGGATATAACACTGGTAAACATATATGCACCCAATATAGGAGCACCTATATATATATATATATATATATATATATATATATATATATATGAAAACTTCTAGATAATTTTAAGAGTATTTTAACAACAATACAGTCATAGTAGGGGACTTTAATACCTCTCTGACTTGACTTCACTATAGTTCTTCCAGACAAAAACATAACAAATGGATTTAATTGACATCTATAGAATATCTTACCCCAAAGCAGTAGAATATACATTCTTCTCAAGTGCAGATGGATAATTCAGAAAGAGAGACCACATGTTAGAACACAAAAGAAGTCTCTACAAGTTTAAGAAGATAGAAATCATATCAAGCGTCTTCTCAGAACACAGTGGAATGAAATTAGAAATCAACTACAGTAAAATCACTAAAAAACCCTTAAGCTTATGGAGGCTAAATAGCATGTTATTAAACAATGAATGGGTTACCAAAGAGATCAAGAAAGAAATAAAAAACTTCCTGGAAACAAATGAAAATGAACACACAACAAACAAAAATCTCTGGACATAGCAGAAGCAGTCTTTTTTTTTTTTTAAATATATATTTTATTGATTTTTAAAAATATATATTTTATTGATTTTTTTTTACAGAGAGGGAGAGAGAGTTAGAAACATCAATCAGCTGCCTCTTGCACCACCCCTACTGGGGATGTGCCCACAACCAAGGTACATGCCCTTGACTGGAATCGAACCTGGGACCTTTCAGTCTACAGGCCGATGCTCTATCCACTGAGCCAAAGTGGTTTCGGCTGACATTTTATTTTTTTATACCTCTTTATTGTTGAAAGCATTATATATGTCCCCCTTTTTTTCCCCCCATTGACTCCCTTCAGCCCGACCCAGACCTTCAGCCCCAAGCCTTCAGCACCCTATTGTCTGTGTCCTTGGATTCTGCATACAAGCTCTTTGGTTTATTACTGGTACTTCCCACCCACTCACCCTCCCCCACCTTCCCTCTGAGATTCCACACTGTTTCATGTTTCCTCTCTCTGGATACACTGTTCACTAGTTTGTTACTTAGTTTCCACATAACTCTTTATTGCTGCAATAAAGTGCAACAATGTGTGCAACTATTTGATACTTGTCTTTAACTGACTTACGCCACTTAGCATGATGCTCTCCAGGTCCCTCCATGCTGTCTCAAAGGGTAAGAGATCCTTCCTTTTTACTGCTACATAGTATTCCATGATATAAATGTACCACACCTTTTTATCCACTCATCTACTGATCTCCACTTGGGCTGTTTTTAGATCTTAGCTATGGTGAATTGTGCTGTTATGAACATAGGGGTGCATATATTCTTTCTCATTGGTGCTTTGGGTTTCTTAGGATATATTTCTAAAAGTGAGATCACTGGGTCAAATGGCAGTTCCATATTTAATTTTTTGTGCAAACTCCATACTGTTTTCCGTAACCATTGCACCAGTCTGAATTTCCATCCATTTTTCCCTGGTTTTAATTATATTGCTTATATTGTGGGACAAATCATTTTTTGCCCTTTAAATACAAAAAAAAAAAATCACATGTAGCCATTCTTAGTTTTTGTCTATGAACTGTGCCATAGTCTCACCTGCAATTGAAATGGGGATTTTTGGAAAAGAAATTATATAAAAAAGCTATATGGTGTTTTTTTTTGTATGGATATAATAATTTATTTAACCAGCCCCCAGTTGAGGAATATCTATGTCACTTTGATGTGACAATGCTTCAGTGAATAATCTTTCAGACATTTCATTTTTCACATGTAGAGGGTATCTGTTGGATAAATTCCTATTACCGTAGTTAAATTTCTGGATTAAGAATTTATACATTTAAACATTTCATAGATGTTTCCATAGCATTGTGATTTGGACATTAAATAGAACTTGTGATGGTGTTTATTTAAAAATTATGAGAGGATCTAATTCTCATCCAACTTGTTCTCTTCTCTTAAAGGTAATTTACCTTCTCTTTCTTCCAAAGCAAGTAAGCAAATTCACAAATTGCATACTTATGGTCAAGAATCCTATTAGGTTTGATAGAAAGAAAGGGTTCTAAGTTGTTTTCTGTGTCAATTTGATAAAAATTGTGAAAGAGATGTGTAACATTGAATTTTTTCTAAAATATAGCTGAATGAAACTAATTGAGAAGTACCTATTGAAAGTGATAAAACTATATCAGTAAAACTTTGTTAGTCATCCTGTAAAAGCATAGAAATACTCTTTCTTAAAATAAACAAATATAGTAAGTTATTGTGTATTTTTAAAATTATAAAATTTTGTTATTCTCTATTTGTGGGATGTCATTTAAAGATCTTTAGTGTTTGTCACCAAGATATATTTTAAAAGTTGTGTGTTGTCTGTAATGAAGTGGCTCTCCTTTTAAGTTAATTAGTTAATTGCATTTACTCAGGAGGAAAATAAAACTTCTGTAACTTGTATATTTAAATGATACTTAATGTATGGACCACAAGAAGAAAAACTGATTTCTACAGTTGGCAATAGTACCTAAATATTTGAAAGATGACTTGAAATGTGTACGAACTTCTTTTGATTAAAAAGTTGCCTGAGTCTATCAGATTATCAAAGTATTCCATTATAAAGGGCTCATCACTTGCTATTCCAATAGAAAGCAGCAACACTGTAACCTAAACACAATAGGAATTCTTGCAGATTTAAGACAACAACAAATAGAATTAACTAAAACATGTATTGCAGAATCATTTTGGATTAAAAAATTGAAACTATTAAATTTGAGAGAACTGATTTGTGACTTGCAGAGATTACCAATGGACTATTCAATTATAGAACATGATAGAACATGATAGCAGAGATCATCAGCCATACCTCTGTAATGGGGAAACAGATCTAAATTGCTACATTTGTGAGCTACACATCACATCAGATTGGTAAATGGTGTGTGTGTGTTTTCCAAGCAGAGGTGTAGAGTTTATTCAACATTGAAAGAATTGTATGCAGATTTCAAGTTGGTTTTATGTCATATATACTGTATATGACATGCTGGATATTATACATAAAACATCCAGAAAAGGAAAGCACTTCATGATAACCTGGAATATTGGCAAGAACATTTAGGATCTAAGCATAGGTTAGTGTTTAAGAGTGTGGTGTCTGGCCTGAATTTTGGCTTCACTACTGTGGGATTTTGTGTCTTGGTTTCCTAATCTGGAAAATGTAGATAATAATAGCGTGTGCTAGTATACCTCAAAGGGTATGAGGATTCCATGCAATAGTCCTGATAAAGATTAGTATAGATAGTGCTGGTCATACAGCCAACTCTCAAGAAATGTAAGTTGTTGCTACTATTTTGCTACTGTATCAAGAAAAGAGGATGTATCCAAAAGCACTGTGGGCATCAAGTCCAAATAGTCCCTCTCACTTTCAGGTCAATGTGATTCAATTGTTGCAAAACTCTAGTAAAGGTGGAGAGGATCAACTGACTCAGACTGCCTTAGCAACAGGCCCCCAAAGAATGCGAATTGCCGCAGCCAATCAGAACGCGAGCTGCGGAGGCGGTAGCCAATGGAGGGCGGAGAGGGGAAGAGGGAGGGCCCGCCAATTTTCCTGCCTAAGCCTCGGCCCAACAAAATGGCGGCGGCGGCGGCGTCGCTTTGTTTCCGCGGATTCTGTAGCGGTGGCAGCGGGAGCGGCCTTTGAGCTGAGGGAAGGTTCCAGCACCCGCTATTAGCGACGGCCGAGTCCGGTGATTTCTGTCGTAGCCCGGCGCTGGCGAGCGCGGAGCGACGCCCTACGGCAGCCGAAGCCCACAAGGCTTTGAAGTGAAAACATGACTGCTGAGCCCATGAGGTAAAACCCAACCCGGTCTCACGGGTCCTAGCGATCGTGGCCTGCGCGCACCCTGAGTCTGGGAAATCCTTGACTTGGTGGCTCAAACCGGTCTTGCTTAGCCGAAAGAGGCATCGTTTTCTCTTTAGGTGAGAAGGGTTTGGGGGTTTGGCGGTAGGTTCCAGCTCCGGGTGGGGGTGGCGGCGGTGGCGGCGGGGTGGGGGTGCGGGGTGGGGGTGGGGGGAGCGGCATGGAATGTCGGGCGCATGCTTTAACATTTCCGAACCGGTGAGGCTCAGTCGGCCTCTTGTTTATGTGATGCCTGAGCCTCGAGACGCCGCCGCAGTCGGAGGCAGTTGTCGCTGTCCCCGTCATTCTTTCTGATCGTTGGGCCTAGAAACTGCGTTGGGGGAGAAGCTGGTGCGAGGGTAGGAAGAGGGGGGCGGGAGGGTGGGAAGAAGGTGGGGTGAGAGGGTGGGAAGAGGGGGAGGGGCGTGCGTGCTTGAGGATGTGAGATCCTGGGACGACTTAGTGGCCTGAAGACGGCTGGAGACCGGAAGTAACCAGGCCTTGCAGATTTTTTCCCCAGCCCTTGGGGACAAGTCCCTTTCTGGGGGTGAGTGGGTGGATCTTGCCGAGTATTTACATCCCTTTTCTGCTTCAGATCCTGAAGGGTATCCTTGGACTTGCCTCTAGGCAAGGGGAAAGTAACTTGAGGTTTGGCTTCCAAAGGGCATACTTTTTTGCGAAGTCCAGCTTTTGTGGTTGGGAAGGCAGATCGCAGATGTTTTCCCACTTTCTGAGCAAATTTCGAGCAAAAGTAATTAGACCCCATTTTTGTTTCTTTCTTTATTCCGTGAGGGACGGGGAGCAGGTAAACGTGGGTTGATGGGAAGTAAGATTTATTGCAAGGGAAGCTCTCCCTAGCAGGCTGCCTCGTACCAATTAAGCACATTTATTCGATTGAAGCTCCCCTCCCCCCCCCCCTTTGTGCTTCTGATTTGCCTCGCGATAGATAAAAATATGGGTAATATGAAATGTATACCACTTTTACATAGAAGGCTGGCTTGCTTCTTAGGCAGTTTGACATTTGACATTTCATCCCTTGTGAATCAATAATTTTTTTTGTTTTTACCAGAGATGATGTATTTTTTTTAAACTCAACCTTTCCTTTTTTAAATATCTTTTCTACTGATTTCAGAGAGGAAGAGAGAGGGAGAGAGATAGAAACATCAATAATGAGTGGTTGAAGGCTGCCTCCTGCATGCCTACCACTGGGGATCTAGCCCACAACCCCAGCCTGTGCCCTGACTGGTGAGAATCCAACGGTGACCTCGTGGTTCATAGGTGATGCTCAACCACTGAGCCACACCGGCCAGCCAACTGAGATGTATTCTTGGCGACTAGTGGCAAACTAAAGGAAATAACAGGCAACATGGATCAGAATTGCATTCATAGTTGGCGAAATGTGTCTTTGAGTAACGACTAGGATATTATGTGTTTAAAGATAGGCTCTTTAGCTACTATGTAGATTTTGAGAATGAACCTGTGATAATTGTGTCTATTTTTTCCTGGATTAACCATGAGTTGATACATGATTTCCTTCCCTTGAGGAAAAAAAATACACTTTAGTTCTTAGATTGTAGATCCCTAGTTGTGAAAAGATTGTGGCTTTGGTTTCTGAATTTGTGCTTAGTATTGGCTCAAGAATAGTAAACCTTTATATATGGGGAATTGGACACGTTAGAAGTACATACCCCGTACAACTTGTCGGTTGGTTATTAACAGGTGCTCATGTTCATCAGGAAGGCTGTATCTCACAAAGTTGGCATTTAAAACTGTAGTGTTTTCTGAATTTGGATTTCTCCTTTTCTTTTGAGTGAACAAATTAACCATGTATACACTACCTGAATAGAATCATTCATTTTATGCCAGGCTTGATTCTCCTTATGGTTCTTGAATTTTTGTAGATTCTGGTGGTAAGAGTAAGAACTATACCTTTACCTGTATAATCTTTAATTTTTAATTTATTTTGTTATTGTTTTTTTGTTAATCCTCACCTGAGGATATTTTTTCCCATTTATTTTTAAAGAGTGGAAGGGAGGATAAAGACAGAGAGAGAAACTTCATTTTCTTAATATATTTTTTTCATTATTGATTAAGGTATTACATATGTGTCCTTATCCCCCCATTTTCCCCCATTGCCCCCTCCCTCCCCATACCCTCACCCCTCCTAGTGTCTGTGTTCACTGGTTATGCTTATATGCATGCATATAAGTCCTTTGGTTGATCTCTCCCCCTTACCTACCCTATCTTCCCTCTTGAGCATCTGATGGATGCTGCTTTGTCTCTGGATTTGTTTTTTGTTCATTATAATCCACAAATGAGTGAAATCATGTGATATTTATCTTTCTCTCAGTGGCTTATTTCGCTTAGCATAATGCTATCCAACTCCATCCATGCTGTTGCAAACGGTAGGAAATCCTTCCTTTTTACAGCATCGGTAGTAACTTCAGTGTGAGAGAGAGACATTGATTAGTTGCCTCCCCATGTGTCTCAACTGGGGCAGGGATGGAGCTTGCAACTGAGGTACATGCTCTTGACTGGAATTGAATCAGTGACCCTTCAGTCCTGGACTGATGCTCTTACCGCTGAGCCAAACCAGCTAAGGCTACTTGTATAATCTTGATTAATTCTTGAAACAATCCTATGGGGTAGGTACTTGGTATTTCTCATTTTGCAGATGAGGAGGAAACTGAGGCATAAGTTCTTTGAGATCAAAGAAACTTGACCAAAATTAATTAGTGATTGTAATTAGTAATTTAACCCAGTCTGGGAATTGAACCCAGTCTTGACTCCAGAGCTTATGTTCTTAACCATAAGGCATTAATGATTCTTTGAGCTGCCAGATCCAATATGATTATGACCATTTTAATTTAGCCCAAGTATTAGAAGAAATTCATGTTAGCTACTATTGTGGTCATTTGTTGCAACTTTGAGTTTTAGCTGTTACAATGTTTTGCCTCTAAGTCCAGATGAGATAGTAGGGTAATGGAAACAATTCCAAGAGAATCTTTGAGTTATGTGAAAAACCCTTGAAAAGAACCACATATATACCACACCAGCTGCCAGCTGTGGCGAAGGAGTGGTGGCCGTCGGTGGCCGCTGCCGGGCGGCTTTTGGGGGAAGATGAGCGGAGAGGAGGCTGAAACGCGGCCCGGGTCGCCCTGCGGAGTTCCGCCGCGGCCCGGGTCGCCCTGCGGGCAGGGAGACCGGACGGCTGCCCTGGCGTGGGCGGGCCCCGCCTCGGCTGCCGCCCAGCCCTTCCCCGGCCCCCCTGTCCCCGCGGGGCCCCGCAATGGCGGCGCAGGAGGACCCGGCGCAGGTTTGGCCCAGTGCATAGAGCGTTGGCCTGTTGACTGAAGGGTTCCAGGTTCGATTCCGGTCAAGGGCATGGACCTTGGTTGCGGGTACATCCCCAGTGGGGGGTGTGCAGGAGGCAGCTGATCGTATCCCTCTTCCTTCCTCTCTGTAAAAAAAATCAATAAAATATATATGTTTTTAAATTGACATGCAAAAAAACGAGATGATCAAATTAAAAAAAAAAAAAGAAAGAAAAGAACCACATATATACTAATCAATGTAGAGAATTACTTTCTCGGGCCGAAGTATCAATTCATCACAAGCCATAATTAGTTGAAGGATAATCTGACAGGTAATGCTTGAGTGAGTTGAATCCACAATACTAAATCACTCTTGAGTCTTTTCTAATGTGAGACATAATATGAGCAATTAATGCATTACCATTAGTTTTGTTACATAGTAGTTCCAGATTTTTTCTTTGTCAGATATTCTCTTGAGCACTTTATTAGGTCTCATTTTCACTTGTGTTTACATAAAAAAGAAATTTTCTAGGATAGTGTGGTGAGAAAATAGCGAAAAGGCAAGAGGGAAGAAAATAAACTGATGACCTGGCAAAATCATACGTTGAAAAGTCAGTTATTTAAAAGTGATTCTGTTTATGTGAATATCAGTCTTTCTTAAATTTTATTGCCTTTTTTGGGGGTAGGGAGAAAAGTAGTGATGAGAAGTTACTTTATTCATTGCATGCATATCTTTTTTGCCTTAAAACTTATATGATTAGGATATAAGTGTTTTGTTGCTAATATAATGTCATAATATCATGTATACATATTTGTTCAAACACTTATTGGAAAAGAAAAAAATTTTCCTGGGAAGTTTGTTAATAATTATTGTGGTTCTGGACATGCTCTATTTGGAAGAATACTATACCCAGTTGTATTAGATTTATGCTCTTTTATGATTGGAGATACTTCAGAAAATACCTATATTAATTCTAGCCAATTGTGATTTTTGCCCCGGGAAAAGGTTCTGTGAATTTTGCCCTGTAGCCACTATTTCTTTTCTTTTTTTATGTGACGTTTTAAATTTAGGTCTTATATTAATTTGAGGTAGTAATTCTTTTTCTATTTATTTATAGAGAGGGAGGGAGAGTGAAATAGAAACATCAAAGAGAGAGAAACATCAATGAACTGCTTCCTGAACGCCCCCCACTGGGAATCAATTCCTGTAACCTGGGCATGTGCCCTGACCAAGAATCAAATTTGAAACTTCTTGGTGATGGGACGATGCCCAACCTAATGAGCCACAGTGGCCTGGCTGAGGTAATAATTCTTTATCTTTATGTTACAGATGAGGAAACTGAGACTTAGGGAGGTTAAGTAATTCGTTCCAGGGCTCCCATCGAATGAGCAACACATTTCTTTTGGACCTCATGTCTCTGTGACTCCAGGCTTCTGCTTGGTACCCATGGCTGTGTGGCTTCCCTTGATTTCACAACACCCTTTGTCCAGTTTGGGAGCTAATGCTATGCATGTATTTGAGTTGACATTGGAGAGAACTTTTGCTGATGTGATTAGCCCAGAATCTGTTGGATGAGCACCATTATTTTCTTCCTTTTTTAAAAAATTTAAAATATCTTTATTGTTCAGATTATTACA